CCCCAAAACCCCAAAACCCCAAAACCCCAAAACCCCAAAACCCCTTTTATATCAAATCGATAGAAAGATAAATAATTTTACTAATGGGACATGCGATTAGCTCATGCTATACTGGGGAATATCCTTCTCAAACTCCAGTACATTGCTTTACCTGAGCAGATGACGTGAAAACCAAAAGGAGTAGTGATAAGAACCATCCTGGTGACGTCTTGTACAAGAAGAAAATCAATAAGAAAAATGTTTAACAAAAGTCACAATAAATGTATGATGAAAGACAAATATATAACAGACTGAGCTCGTAGCTTTGCTCAGAATTTAAGAAAAAGTTTAAACATTCTAGAACAAAATATTGAAGATCATTATACTATCGGAAAAGTTATTGGAATTGGTCACTATGGAACTGTTCGAGAGGGATGGAAACTCTCTGACGACTCCAAAGTAGCAATTAAGGTATTTGAACTTAAAACATTACAGAAGACATTCAAATCAATCTGTTGAGAAGTTTCTTCTTTACAAAAAGCCTCTCATAACAACATTATCGATCTTCACCAAGTCTTTATGGACGAAACCTGATGATACTTGGTTCTAGAATATGTAGAAGGAGTTGACCTTTCTGATTTGATCATGGATGGTTATGAGTTAAAAGAGAGGGAAGTTAAGTACATTTTGCAACAGATAACTTCAACTATCAACTATCTTCACTCTATTCACATCTGCCACAGAGACATAAAGTTAGATAACATCATGTTGAATACTGATACTTTTGACATTAAGCTGATCGATTTCGGCTTTTCAACAAACTTTAGTGAAGTGGATCACCTAAACTGTAAATGTGGAACTCCTTATTATGTTGCTCCTGAAGTCCTAAAAGGAAACTATGGCAAAGAATGAGACATGTGGAGCATCGGCATTATGGCATACTACATGCTAACTGGGAATCCCCCATTTCATTCAGAAAGTGATTCTGAATTATTCAATTCTATTATGAAGGATGAAGTTTTATATCCTCAAAAGGTATGGGAAAGTATCTCTCCAGAGGCAAAAGGCTTTATTGAGAAACTCTTAATCAAAGATCCAAGCAAAAGAATGACTGCTGAAGAATCTCTTGAGCATCCTTGGCTTAGTGATGAAGACATATCAAGCACGGCAAGATCTAACACTAGGTGTGGATCAATTTAACTCCTAATTTGTTAATTATTTTCCACTATTGTTTAGAGATAGGGGTTTTGGGGTTTTGGGGTTTTGGGGTTTTGGGG